CCCGGAAAACTCACAGAATAGATGGCTACTTATAATGTTGTTTATACGAGATGATTATGATGATATTATGATGAAGTTACATGACTCAATTGGATCGGATATATGATCACGTGGGTTTAAATGGGAGCTTAAGCATAACTTGATAATAGTTGAGGATAAAATCTTGACTTACTAAAAGTGCTAACTGCAGTAAACTAGTGTCAACCTTTTTGAGCTTCATAACCCCATGTTATCTTGTTGAGTACGGGACGTACTTACGCTTGTTTACTTTCTATATTTGGATAAAAATCCCGGATGGGTGACAGATGACAACGGATATGAGGAGTTTCCTGAGGATTATTAGGCTTGTGGTCAACCAGTCGACCGTCCCTGTGATGGAGTTCCACGAGAGAGTTATCTTTTTATCTTCCGCTGTGTTATGTAAGACAATGTGATGCTATTATTCGTTATGTAAGATGCACCGTGATGATACTTTTTATAATTTGTCAACTTATGTGTGTGACTGATCCCTGGGCACACATGAGTTTAGTGCATTCAATTTTATCCTTAAAATTGGGTGTGACAGTCTAATAGAAGCTGGAAGCTCCGTTACCATCATGGTGAAAGCTCTAGTTTGGTTTTGGATAATTGATGAAACCCTAAGTACTAACATTTGGCTCTAAGTGAATATGAGATAGGTTAGTACATATTAAGCATTGGAGCAAATGGATGATGATCATGATGATGGTGATGATCAAGTGCTCAAGCTTGGAAAAGAAGAAAGAGAAAAACAAAATGGCTCAAGGCAAAGGTATAATTGATAGGAGCATTTAGTTTTGCCACTCAACACATCAAGTGCGTGTGAGTGGGTTTATGATAGATAGTCATACTATGAATAGGGGCGAAACTCAATGTGAAATGCGGTTATCAAAGTGCCACTAGATGTTCTAACTCATTGCATATGCATTTAGATTCTAGTGAATGCTAACACCCTTGAAAATACTTTGTGAAAATGCTAACACACGTGCACATTGGTGATACACTTGGTGGTTAGCACTCGGGAGCAATGGTGAAAGAGTTGGAGATGAGAAAGGGTCACTCTGGAGTGACCGGACGCTGTCGCGTAATGATCGGACGCGTCCGCCATCCGGTGCTTGAACCTAGGCTCGGGCAGAGGCGCCGAAATGATCGGACTCTGGCTCGAGGGAGTGATCGACGTGGCGGGAACACTCTTCCCGGGTCCGGTCGCTATGACGTAGCGCGTAGGTGCTGAGTAGGTGAACACCGAACTTACTGGACTCGATCGGACTCCAGCTGTGGGAGCGTCCGGTCGTAGAGGGGAAAGTTTGGTCGACACTGTGAATTTGCGCGGGCGCGTGCGAGCGGACGCGGCGCTAGCGCGTCTGGTCCTGCTCAGGCGCGTCCAGTCTTAACTTAACCGTTGGCGCATGTTAGGTAGCCGTTGGAGATAAGCGGCTGAGGTTGAATCACGGGGACAAGGGGCCTCCATCTGTTGACTGGACGCTGGACTGGAGAGTCCGATCATCCCGATCAGAGCTTCCGGTTGCCAGATTTCAGTGCAGTGAGGGGGCAACGGCTCTATTTGTTTGGGACCTCTGTAAATAGAGGTTGGCCGGCCATGGCTCACTCTCTTGGTATTTCTATTGAGAATACACCCCAGTGAGCCTAACCAATCCTTTCTAACTCATCTTGTTTGATTGATTCATCATTTGGTGAGATTGGAGTGGATCCAAGTGCATTGCTTTGAGTGATTGCATCTAGAGGCACTTGGTGATTGTGTTTCACTATAGATTTCTCTTGTTACTCTTGGTGTTTGTCGACACCTAGACGGCTTGGAGCAGCGAGGATCATTGAGTGGAGGATGGTTTTGTCTCTAGTTCCAATCGGTGGATTATGAGGGGTTCTTGTGCCTTCCCCGTGGGAGATCACGAAAGGCAACTCTAGTGGCTTGTTCGTGACTTGTGAATCCCCATCTTGTGTTGGTTGTGCGGCACTCGATTGCAAGTTAGGCGTGTGATGCCTATTAGCGCATGAACTTCTAAGTGGGTGAATTGTCACAATGGGGACTAGCTTGCCAGCAAGCAAGTGAACCTCGGAAGAAAAATCTTGTGTCATCTTGTCTCCGAGGATTTCATTGATATTTATTGTGATAAGTCTCTTGCCTGATTCGGTATATCACTCCTACCCCTTGTATTTACATTCTTACTTATTTGTATAGTGCTAGTTGTATCTAGTGAGCAGTGTAGCGTAATTAGTGTAATTAGCTTGCTAGTTTGCTCTCTAGTGGTAGAAGTAGTGACTTAGCCTTTGTGTGATACATAGAGATCATAGCAAACTAAACTTCTGGATAGGTGGCTTGCAACACATGTAGTGCTAGCACAAAACTCGCTTCGCCATTTAGTTATCTAACCATTTGTCTAAGTGTTGTTGTAGAAAATTTTTATAGGCTATTCACCCCCTCTAGCCATTTAGCACCTTTCACATGGCCACTTTGAGAATTATGTCCGGAACAAATCTCTAGAGCAGCTACCACTATCTTTTGAGCACTGTGGCTTATTTATGTATAATATGGTGTGTACTTAACCATCACAACTTTGAAACAACACCGTTTGTGATACGGCCTACGCTGTAAGATTTTCTGATTAAGGTATATGTAGACTTTGACTACATTGGCTCTTCGGTTATTTTACCCCATATGTTTTCTTCTCCCATTAACTGAGTAGGTTAAGTGTTTCTTCTCTTTTCGTATTAAACATAACTATATCTATGGTGTCAACCCGCATGCAGGGGCGCACCACTATCACTAGTTTATTAAGGACAGAGACGCTCGGCTGCAGAATCCACGGCACGTGAGGGGGGCTGGCCTGGGGGCGTCCAACTTTTCCACTTTTGAGCTAAACTCAACAACACATTTATCGAGGTGGATAGGTGTTGATGAACTAAATAGACCAAACTTTGTGCCAAACCTTGGCATCTTAGAGCCTTCTCATCAAATAGAGGCTTCTAATCTTGGGTTAGTTAGCAAAAGCCTTCACATCAACACTGAGAGGCGAATCTTTAGCGCACAGAACCAAATCCTACCAGCTGCAATCAAAGCCAAATATTTCTCTCGAAGCACTTTTTGGATCCACCCATTCACTTCCCAAAATCTGTCTGTAGTCCAGTACTTGGTTCAATGGGTTAATGTATACCAGAAGAAGCCTCAACTTGAGAGGATGTGAAATTCATCAGAAAATTAATTCTTTACTGCATGGATTCTTAGAGGGCAGCTATTGTCAGACCAAGAGCAGGGACAGGTAACAGAAGGCACTTTAGACGGCTCGGATGCAACAATACCGATTCTATTATGTGAAAATAACGGTTGTAGTCATTTACCTTTTGTCCTGTTATACAACGTTATAGACAGTTGGAAACTCTCCCCTCACATCTCTCTCAAATAAAATAATCAACAAATAGACAAGAGAGACAAATTTAGAAAGAGCCTTTCTTTTTTTAGGACCTTTACAATGGACTGACATGATTATGGGCCGCTTATTTCTCTTGATTTGACGGTTTAGATATACTTATACTAAGATTCTAAAAAAAGGATATACTTATACTACATTAATCCTTTAAGTAGTATGAAATAGTATTTTAAAATATTATTAATTATTGTGGGTATCATGGAAAAAAGTAATAACATACTGTAATTTCATTGATCTTTAAGGCTGAATTGAAACACTCATTCTTTGGCGAAAAAAAGAAAATTTATCATTCTTTGAGGAAAAAAAGAAAATTAAAACATTCATTTTTTCATATGTTGCCCGTCTTCTATTTTCTCCCCTGTTCTTCTCCGTACCAGTCATTTCTGCGCGGCACCACGGTGGATCGAGATCAGGCGACGGTGAACTGGCGAGATGCGTCCTCCTCCTCCTCCGCATCAGGCCCTCGCTGGAGTGGACACTATAGGAGGACACGCGCCTGGAGCGCCTCGTCAAGGGGAAGAAGGGCCAGAGCCGCGTGGCCTGCGACACAATGATGCCCTCCCCTCGGCAGTGCGGCGACAGCCGAGAGGTGGCGTGAACACCTCGCCTGCGACCTCTACCACCTCTCCTTCAATGTACAAGGAGCTGCAGCGCCTCATTCCTGTGCCACATCGACCGCTGGAAGGAGATCAGGCGCGCAATGCACGACAAGGGTTAGTGGCTTTGGTGCCAGATGAACGACAAGGAAGGAACAAGGTTGGAAACTCGGGAAGCCATACTGTTTCACAAATCTCTTTTCATTTTTGCAACCAAACAGTATTTGGAATTTGGTAGTGAGAGTGATTCCCCACGCGTGATTCCTATGCCAACCAAACACAAAATTTCGTGTTCATGAGCAATGCAAGTCCTTTTTAGATTTTGTGTTGGAGCCCAATTCAATTCATTGGAGGCAATTCAGAGATTCAAACGGACCCCAAGCACTTTCTTTCATTATGTGACCTAGCTATATGTTATCTTAAGTCATTACTTTAGCTCCAGTTCAAAATATTTATCCCTGCATTTTTCTTAATCGTTCTCCGATTTCTTTCGTACTCGAGCTGGTCCCGACAACTGTCTCAACAAAATTTTCTTCCCTATTACATGGCACACCCATAATGCATTTTTATTTCTTTCTTTTTTGTGAAGATGCTGCAAATTTTTTCAAGCCAAAACACAACATATGAATGGTATGTCCGTTGGGTACAACATGAATGTGTCATGGCAGATTAGGCAGATGTTCAAACAAAGAAAAGATTCAATACAATCTAATACTACATGTTCAGATAGATAGATGTTCATTCAGAATTAAACACAATCTAATCAACGTGAAGAAAATGTTTAATGATCAGGCCCTATTTCACACACTCAGAATTAAATAATTGATCAAATCCATCTATTTGGGTGGACCACAAATTTTCTTGTTGTGTTTGTTTTTGTCTTGCCCTTGTTAACTATCTTGCCCCTATTTGCAGATCGACCATCCTCCATTGGTTTTGTCTAGCCATTATTTGCAAATCGATCATCCTTACTGCTACCCATTGTTTCTATTTTGCCCTTGTTAGTAACCTCTGTCTCGCACTTCTTTCTAGATCCACTGTCCTTGTTGCTACCCTTTGTGTTTGTCTTGCCCTCATCATCCTTACCAACAGCCATCTTGGCAACACCAATTTGAGCTTCAATTGTCAGGAGCTTCTGATGTGCACACTTTTTCTGTTTGCAAATATCTAGAAGCCTTTTCAGGGACTGCAGGATTTCTTGTTTGTCACAATTAGCAATAGCTTTTCCGACATCTTTAGGCACATCCATTAGCTTTGATCCCAAACCACCAGCAATCTATACAAAACAAAACACATTTTATTTATCAATTACTCCAGATCCGTTTATTGGTAATGCATTGACTATATTAACAAACTTAGTCAGACGTTCAACCTCAGGGAGCCCAATTTCTTCCTCAAACTCAGGAACTAGAACCTTTGTGATCATGCTTGCATAGGTCACATCATCTTCACAGACTACGATCTCAGAAACATAACAATCGTATTTGTCGCGTAAAACATCGGAAGTTGTATTGAGGATTATGTCAAGAATTTTCACATAACCAAACACATATATGAGATCTGCAGTAATCTGAAATGGATAATAAAAAACAAATCAAATAAACCCAATCATAAAAAATTCAAGAAGGTACAACAATCAATACACAAATAAATCATAAAGAAGCTGAAGTTCTTGAAAATACAGTACAATATGTACCGACTACTTGTGAGTTAGCATGATCACAGGGCAATACCAACAAAAGAGAAATACACATAAATTACACATGGTTGCAGACAAAACTACTTGTTGATCAACAATAATGGGATCTAATTACATGTAGCATCGGCTAGGGTTTGGAGATTAGTTTTCCTCGGTTGTTGGGATTAGTTCCTTAGGAGTCAAGTTACCTCATCTATATATAGGTGGGGATTGTATCTAGTTCCCAGTCCCCTTCTCCTATCCCTGCCCTTGTGGTACAGTTGCCACCTTGGACGAGGTCGTGCCGCTTGGGTCCAGGGCAATCTAGTTCGGCACATGACAATTGGTATCAGTTTGGTTTCGACCCCATGGAGGTTGCCGCCGAGAAGCTCACAGAACTGGTCGCACAATTTGCTGATCTTGCCAGGCGTGTGAGGAACCTCAAGGAGAAGCCCCTGCTCTCTGTGCCGGCACTAGATGAACCCCCTGCTGTGGTGCTGCCGGAGGAGATCAAGGTTCAAGTGTGCGACATTTTTGTGCTATGCCTACGCCACCAATGCCCCCGACTCCTTGTTGGTTGCTGCACCAGGTGTACAGGATGTATGTGCATTAGAGGGCACACTACAGCAAGTCATGGCCTCTGCTTCCATCCAGTAGCCGCTGCATAGTATAGATCATGTGGAGAGAGGTGGAGAAGATGCAATCTGCTGGTTCCTGGGATTTCTATGGAAGCCAGGTGAAACAGAGACTCTCATGCATGTGGATTACTCCAACAAATTTAGGATTTTCCATTATTCACGCGAGGAGATCAGGGAAGTGCAGTCATACATGCAACTTTCAAGACACGTCATTTTTTTTTGGAAATAACAAGACATACATGGTTCCTGGAAATCAATTTGAAGATAAGTGTAGTAGTTGGAGATAATGTTGACCAAGAGATAACCAGATGTGTGCATGGGCGAATTCAGAGGGAGCCTCTAATCGTTCTCAAGGTTATCTTTCCAAGGTTTTGGTTGGGGTCCTCCTACAGCTAAACATGGAACAATGATGCAACACGGCAGATTGGTTCTCAGTTTATTTGTAGGTTTATTAGTAGACAATAATAAAGGATAATAAGTCGAGATGTAAAATGCTTAGTATCATGTTCGGTCGAGTAGAGTCATAGCCATGGAAAGAATAGCCTGCTGTAGCAGCTCGAGGACGAGCTGAAAAAATAGGGGTGCAATGTCATGGGACGACATGACTGTAGCACGCTCGTTACTGTAGCATCAGCTAGGGTTTAGATATTAGTTTCCTTAGTTGTTGGGATTAGTTCCTTAGGAGTCAAGTTACCTCATGTATATATAGAAGATGGGGATTGTATACTAGTTCATTGAGCAATCAAAGAGAATATCTATTATCTCAGTCCCCTTCTCCTATCCCTGCCCTTGTGGTGCGGTTGCCGAGTCGACAAGGTCACGCCCCTTGGGTCCAGGGCAATCTAGTTCGGTACATGACACCAAAGGAAATGATTTAATGGCAACCTATCAAGAATATAACGAGTTGATGCTCCTTTTCATAAATATTGATAGTACAACATAAACATCACCAGAGAATTAGATGTATCAAAATATGGATTATTTACTAATTGTTTTTAAATGGTATACTATGTAAATGCAGTGTTACAAATTGACATGGATGTCAACAGCAAGAGTTAAAAGCGGATCCGAAGTGCCTTGCAAACCGGTTGATAGACTACTCTTTAACGCCTCAACCATTGTCACGGTTGGAGATGGAATGAAAACACAATTCTGGCATCACATCTGGTTAGATGGAGAAGCTCCCAAGAACCTCGCGCCGCATCTCTTTGAGTTAGTAAGAAGGAAGAACAGATCGGTGCAGCACGAACTTCACAACCATACCTGGATTCGGGCACTTAGGGGCAGGATCACAACGGTCACCCATGTGGAGGAATTCGTATCCCTTTGGATTAGAATATTCAGCTGCAGCCGGGAGTACAAGACTCCATTGCCTGGAAATGGACGCTCGATGGAAAATACTCGACTCGCTCGGCGTACCGCATACAGTTCCAAGGGAGCTTCAGGAAATTCCACCTAGACCTTATTTGGAAAGCACATACTGAAAAAAATGCAAGTTCTTTGCTTGGATCCTAGTGCAGAACAAAATCCTCACGGCAGACCATCTGCAACTGAGGAATTGGCCACACCAAGATCACTACGTGTTGTGCAATGATCCATTGGAATCCGGCCTTCACCTATGCCTGCTATGCCCTCTAGCTAAAGAGATTTGGAGTCTTGTGTTGGCATGGGAGCACTTTGACACTAACCTAATCCGGCCTCAGACCCAACCAACAGAAATAAGAACACGGTGGGAACAAGTGGCAGCCACAGTCCCAAGGCAGCGACGGCGACACTTCAACGAGGTGGCGATATATACGATGTGGAACATTTGGAAGGAAAGAAACAGTTCAGAATGTGGCCATGGATGCTCGACAAGTGGCATTCAAAGCCAAAGAGGACATTTATATGCATTCTAGGGTCTTTAGCAACCCGACTTAGTCTTTCACAGATTAACCCCTGTGGGGGAGGGGTTTGTGTATTTCCTGTGTGTGAGCCCGGTGTGGCTTCCCGGACATCCGGGTGTTCCTGTACATATAAATTTCTTTCATTCCTTAATTGAGAGGCAGAGCTCCTGCCAGTTTTTTTCGAAAAAAAATTAGGCTCACTAATACCTGTGCAATATGCAACTAGGTGCAGCAAGACAATGTGTAAGACTGCCTAGACCATTACCATGGTATGTGTTGCTATACATTCACAGATTTAGGAAAGCAGTAAACAACTCTTTAAGCGCTCAGATCATATGCCAGCATAGTCCATGTCAACACTCCAATTCTATGGCACTCGAGTACAATTGGATAAATCAAATTGTTCTTATAGAATAGGACAGACTTCTATTTCGTGGGGATGACGTATGTCATTGATACTCGGGTAAAATTAGCCTTTAAAACGGATGGGTAGTTTTCATTTTATAAGTGCCAGCATTTTTTAAGCCATAGGTGATTCAGTAATTGAACCTATTCCAAATCTGAATTATTATGATATATCAAGAGTATCGGAATATAGAATAGCATTGCAATAGCAAGGAGAGCATAATACCTCACTTGTGGAGACATTGATTCCATATGTTTTCAAGTCCCCTAGCAGTTGCTTGCTCAGTGGGAGAAAATAGTTATCAGTAATCTTATTCCTTTCCTCGGATATAAAATGAGGCATGACATACTTTAGTCCCCAAATAACCTCTTCCACACTTGGTCACCTGTCCAGCATTTGACATCCTGAGAAACTATGTCAACATTAGAATGCCACATTTGACTAGAATCAGTACTAATGACAAAAAGGAAAACTGTTGAGGGAATAAAAACTCACAAGTTTTGATTCGTTAACAGCTTTAAGTTGTGTGTCTTGAACAACCAATTCCCTTTTAGCATTGCAGAATCTAAGAATGATCTGTTCCAGTATGTCACCAGGGCCAATATCACTATTACGAGTAACAGATTTTTCATCAACACTTACAAAACCAATGGCAAAGACAATCTGACATGATCCAAAAGAACAGTCATCAGACTATGATAGTGGGTGACACATAAAAAATATTAGAGCCCTGAGCGGTTCAAATGGAGAAGATAAATGCTGATAAATGCAGCATGATCAAAATGATTCTAATCAAAGTAACAACAAGAACAAAGCCTTTTTGGAAGTTATGTTTGACCATCAAACTACAGGAAGATGGTACAGCATGTCCTGTGATTGGAAGTAAAAGTAGTTTCCTATGAGGTTATCACTTGGCCCTTAGCGTACATCATCCATCCTAGAGATCTAGTCAATTTATCTTACCAAGGTCAAGTTAATTAGATGTTTGATGTCAGTTAGAAGTAACAGTCTTCTTAGCAATGCTGTAAAGCTGAGTGCCTAGCCTTGCTATAGACACACACAGTGGCTATACCTACCGAACCTACCCAGTGCTTAACCAATTTGTCCCACTTAGACCCACCCAAATAGCCAATCAGGCACTGATCTGCTACCTAACCAGCCCCTAGCCCCTTTGTTAGACGGTTAGTAGCCAAAGAAAGAAGGAAAACCTATATCTTACCATTACCACGGATGGTGTACTACTAAGGGCTTGTTTGTTAGAGATGCCCTAGAAGTGAGTTTCTGTGGGACTCTGGGGAGATTCTATGGAGGAATAAGGAACAAAGCTAATCAGGAGAAGCTGTTTTTTTCAGCACCCAATATCTTAGTTCATTTCAGAGAGTCAATTCCATAGAGTGATTCCTGGAAACAGCCTTTCGGCAGAGGAGCAATTGACTTTGGGAGCTCCGCCAAACAGGTCCCAACTTAAATTGCGAAGAGAGTTTGCGTTCAAAAAAAATTGCGAAGAGAGATGGAAGCATGGTTGCTCCTCAAGAGACATTAAAAAAGAAGAGTTTCCCATGTAACTTGATCCCATACGGGATGAACAAACAAATTAGCAATGAATGTATTTAAAATATAAGTTGAATTTTTAGAGATACTGTACTTTGCGTGCATCAAGTATATCGGTAAAATAAGCCCAGATATCCTGCAAAATGGGAAAAAAAACTTATCAGTTTCAGGATTCAATGATCCGTTGCATGGCACCCAAAAAAAGGAAAATAGGTGATTCATCACAAGCGTGTCGGACATACATCAAGATAACTAAACACATCTTCATGAACATTAAATATAGCAAAACCTGAGGGAGTCTCAAGCAGCACCCTCCTGAACTCCATTTTATTGAAATCTACAAGTTCCCTGCCAGTGAAGTTAAGAACAAAGAAAATTAAAAGCAGCCATGTGATTACTTCACAAAGAAAACTAAAAGCAGCCTGTACTTTGCTTTTTTCATCTCAAACTTAAGAAAAGTAACCAACATCCAAAGCCTAAGAATGGCCCAAACAAGGCTCCAGCCTCATAGCGCATCAAAAATGCCACCCGCCACCATTCCTCCATGAGGATACATGTTTCACCAGTGTTGAGCTACAAGGAACAACTATCCTAACTGGTCTTTTTCATTGTCCACAACAAAGATCAAACCCTAAAGACTATTTTAGACTGGAACTCGAACCTAAAACACCAAATAAGAGTTCCAGTCCAAATTAGGGGTGCAATTGGGGTTACCCTATTTAGTACAATGAAACGAACTACTTTATCAAAGAGTGCATGAATTTTGGGAAGTTACTTCATTTGATTGAACAAAGAGGGTCAGTGGGCACCCCTCCAATTTACAGTCCTAGTACAAAACACTTCTGTAGAAACAAGTACCCCATATTGTTGTTTAACAGATCTTTTCAGAAAGAACAAAACTAAGCTGCAAGAAAACCCTAAATTCGTTTTCTTCTACCATGATACAGAAAATAAATTTTAAAGAGATGTGGGCTATGATTCAACCTGCTGAGAGTCGTATTTCGCTACGCATACTAAACTTGACAAAACTATAATCAACACTCAATTGATGTATAGAGCAGATGAACGACAAGTGCTTACCCTACATCAACCCTTGGATGTGAGATGAGAGATTTGAGAAGTGTCGCTTCCATAAGCTTCACATCCATAAGAATCTTGTCTCTCAGCTCAGGAACATACAGGAGGTAATCAAGGTATCCCATTATCTTTGCCAGGTCATGCATAGTAAGGTCATCTTCATGATTAGCTTGAAACAGTTGAGCCTGATGCAACTTTGATGCCAAATCAGAAGAAAATGTCTACACAAAACGAAGCATGTCCAATTCATATATCAATTATCACTGAAGGACAAGTTTATGTGAACAGTACATTGTAAAAATCGACAACTGTTAATTAAGATTCGTTAACCTCAGAGAAATCATATTCTTTCACCAACTCAGGAACAAGTACCATTGCAAGCACTTTCGCATAGTCCAAGCCATTTTTAATAGTGTCACCAATCCCAACATACTCATCAAATGACCTCGACAATTCCTTTGGAAAACCCTCTAGATTCATGTCAAAGTAGCACAGGAAACCAAATTTGGTTATGAAAGTTTTGTCAACCTGAAATAGAGAGCAAGAGAAAAAAAAAACATAGCAATTAGAATCATGCTGCAAGGTAAGAGTTGTGGAGGAGCTTCAATCTATAAAAAAATAAAGCTGAGAAATCACAGGGCATGTAAACTAGAAATATTAATGTACATATGAACTGTGACAAACAATAAATTGGCCAATTATTGAAATTCAAACAACAGAATTACTAATGTTTGGATACATGAAAAAAGTTTGAAAAATAATATCTCCATTATTCAGAAGTTCATTGAATTAGAGAACACTCTGCTTATTATGAAAGGAAGAAAGGCATCGACAGTCCAAACAATAATTTGGCCATGGGCAAATGCATCAATAACTTTAGAAGTGAAGGGACAAGAGGCACACAATATACTTAATAATGACTTGAATGGAAATAATTGTGATACATTCAATATAATGGTAGAAGAACATTTCTGACATACAGTCTAAGCAAAAACAAGAATTACATACACAAATGCACAAAAGTCAAGTGAGTTGAGTAGGAGTCTACCGATAAGAGAAAATATGGTGTTAAATAACAGCACAGCAAGCTCGTGGGAATGCATGCCACGTATAGCTTAAACAATAATAGATGATATAAATAAATACTTAAAATAGCAGCAGCAAGAGCATAAGTACCATTCTTGGCGGAATATTGACTAAATAATATTGTAAGGCCTCTTGCAATCCCTTGCTCACTGGAAGACAATATTCCGGTGTTATATTGCGCTCTTCTTCACGTATAAATGCATGCAAAACATTTTTTTATCCCCCATATCACCTCACCAACATCATATCACATCTACATGTGATACCATGAAAGACATTTTAATCATTAGCAATACATAGGGTTTGTAATGATTATCACATAAATCAAAAATTAAAGGCAGCATATACCGACAATCTTTTTCTCGATAGAAGCTTTAAGTTCCTTATCTTAAACAATTAATGTCTCTCCAGCCCTATAGAATTTCGTAATAGGTTGCACCAGGTCCTTTCCAGGACCAGCATCACTATTCTGAGCAGCAGATATGTTATCAACTTTTTTGAAGCCCAAGGCAACAAGTGCCTAACATGGTTTATAAAGAAAGTGAGAGCATGAATCATTAACAGAGTACAAGCATAGAGCAACCATAAAAAGAGACTACCAAAGGATATGATTGTGCCATGAACCATGTGGTAGTACACTAACAAACATCAATAGTACGTTCATCTTTGTTACTCTATTTGATGCAAATATTATGAAATATTTAATGATGGAGTGGTAGTAAAGAACTAACAAACATCAATAGTATGTCTAGCTTTTATTTCTCTAAGATCCAAATGTTATGAAATCTTTAGTTATGAATTTATCATTTACAAAGAGAGGCCAGCATAACTACGTCTCAAGACACCTTAATAGAATACAAGTATTCAGTCCTGCTGAGATCGTGTCCATCCAGGATCTTGTGTGGAATAACATATTATGAGTAGCTGCAATGTACCTGAATTGTGCATTCTAGATCCGAGAAGTGCACCGAGATATTCTGTAAAAAGACGAAAGAATAATTAATTGGCGTTTAGGCTGACAAAATAGTTGCAGGGCCAAAAGCAAGAAAGGAATGAAACCGGATAATTCATCACAGGACAACATATTACCTTGTCTTGTTCAAAAGCATAATCCTTAACAAGGAAGACTGCGAAACCAGTGGGCATCTCAAGCAGCACCTTCCTTCCCTTCAAATGTTCCGTATACACACTTCCAAACATTTTCCTGGCAGAGCAAATCAAGACTCAAGATTAATGGATCATGGAAGGGTAAGGAAGAGGCGCTGTCTAGCAATCATTCAAATGTATTTTGCTCTAACTTTTTTTCCCAAACTAATAAACAGACAGATCAAATCGACCGCAGACACAGCTCTCCAAAACTAACCCTCCAACCAATAGCACGACCCACCGTCATTCCTCTACATTCTACAATGACCCCTCATACACTAGAGGGGCACTATTCTTTCCGAGCCCTCTCATTGTCCTTAAAGCAACCAGTCTGATCCAAATCTGCCATGTTTAGATCAGTGGACATATGCCTATATCTAAAAGGTTTTATGTTATCTATATCTATTCCTAATACTAACGAGGCAAAATTTCTAGCCATTTTTTTTGTCCATCCTCCCCTAACCAACTCTGAATGTTGAACCATATTGTTCGTGTCTGTCTACCGCCCTCTTGTTTTATAATGACATATACAGGGCTTTTTGAGATAGCAATTGCTAGGAATTCTAATTCTAATCAAATAGACTTCTGCCTATTCTAATCCAAATAAAAAAGGAAGATTTTTCGTTTAATTCAAGTAACGCCTTTTGTTTTTAGGGCTGTCCTAAACTCCGAATCGGCGCAGCACATCGTGTTGCAGTTGGATTCAACAACCCAGCAAGGAAGGTCCAAAATTATTGGCTGCCAAAAATCCAGACGGTAGTATAAATAGATATTTATATTTGTGCCTTTAGCTTCAGTCCTAATCTCTTTCATTTTTTTTTTCCGGCCCTCCCTAACTAACTACGTGAATATGAAAATTGTCTACGTTATGTGCATAAGTTGGACAACCCTATTTTAGATAGCTAGGAATCCTGATCCAAATAGATACCATGAGCAAGTTAAATAAAAATCCTAATCCAAATATCCCTGCGATCGTGAGTAAGCTAAATAGAAATCCTAGTCAAATACAAAGAGTTTTCTAAGGAATTTCTCCGTTAAACCCAGACAGTTTTCTTCGTTTTTTTCCGTGTACGTCCGAGACTACGATGCATGCGTGCCGATTTTTCCGTTTGTTTGTTTATCCATCCGAAGCGTAGGCGAGTGTGTCCATCCTGGAGTCCCTTTTAAAATCGTACGAGGACATGCTCCTCGGCCACGGCATGATCAAGAAGAAGAAGGTGCGGGAGCATGGCGCCAGGGCGTGGCTTTGCCATGGTCACGGGACCAGCTTGCTGGCGAGCTGGCCGCGGCGTGGGGAAGGCGTCCGTTGTCGTCAAGGAGACGACGCCGGCAGCGTATTACAAGGACGGCGGCACGGTGCTCGTCTCCACAAGGCCAAGATCGGAGGAGGTCCGGCTCCGTACCAGGAAGAAAGCTATCATCAGCTGCAAGCAGGTCCAAGATCTACCGGTTGAGCATTTGTTGCAGGACTTGCCACGGACGTCCGATTGTGGCGAAGTGGCGAAGGCATGCATGTATTACGTATACTGATAGATAGCTAGAAATACTTTAGATACATCATATATTATTAAGAACATAATTAATGTTTCTTTTATCTTTTGAAAAAAAAAAACAAGTGCATATAGGTCTATTATCATGGCTCACGATTGTAGTATCTTCTTGTGCCCAATAATATATCTTCTATAATAACTAACTAATCACAAGTGCTTTTTCAATCCAAATACAAGGCATGTTTGTCTACTCTTTATAGATCCAATTATTTAGAGTACTCAGATAAGAGGGATCTATTTAGATTATGATAGGATTCTTAAGGAAGAAAGTTGCTACATTCACGGATCGTTATCTCTACCTATCGTACGACGAGGTCGAGGCCACCACCGCCAAATGTATACAGTGAGACGGACATAAAGTTAGAAACCGATAATGATCTTGTTGCGGGCACTTTTGCTAATTTACCATAAAATTTCAATTGGGTCCTATAATATCTCAGAAAAATACCGCAATAATCCAACCAGCACTTCCAAAAGCTGATGATCTGTGTGCGGTGATCTTGAACGGATCAGGCAGTCGCTGACTTTAACGTCCCAGGGCAGCGAACGGATGGAAAACTCATGAGATTAGGATGAGAACTTACGTCGATTGAAGACCAAATCATGGGGGCTGACCTTTGTCGGCGTTGCACTTACGTCGATTGTGGGCGGGGCTATTGTGGGCGCGGCCACCGCTGATTACCGTCGCCGGCGTCCAAAGGAGTCCGATCTGATTAGGACGACGCGTGCGGAGGTGCCGAATGCCGATCGTGCACCAGAATGACGGGATTGATCCTGAGGGCGCTGATGGCGGGATTGATTGCGTTGATGATATTAGTTTCCTTGGATGCACGATTCATTCATTTACTACGGAGGAAGGCTCCCTGCACAAGGCCCATCCACTTAGAGGGCCTTGAAACAGCCCAGTTAAAAATTATCCAGGAAAGAGAAAAGATTGACTAGTGGGACCTACATGTCACCCTCGCGGAAATAAAGCGGGCAGTGCGGCATTCCGCCCGCCGGAACACACGATTGGACCCCCATCGCACCATGTCGGCCGCCGAAACCGCCGTTTCTCCGGCGCCGGCGCCACAGCCGCCGCTGCAGGCGCCATCGGATCCGAACGCCGCCGCCGCCGCAGCCGACGCGGTCCATTCTAACTCTCTCTCCATGGCCGATGACACGCAAACCCTAACCGAGGCCCTGCTTCAGCCCCAACCAAACCACTTGTCGCTGCCTCCTTCCGGGGAGGAGGACGACGGGGTCACTGCCTCCGGTGCTCTCGTTGGTGGGGACGCCGCGTCTTCCGCTGCTGCTGCGGCTACGGCTAACGCGACGATGGAGGAGCGGGTGAGGGGGCCGTGGTCCCCGGAGGAGGACGCGGTGCTGAGCAACCTGGTGGAGAAGCTCGGGGCGCGGAACTGGACGCTGATCGCGCGCGGCATCCCGGGCCGCTCCGGCAAGTCCTGCCGCCTGCGCTGGTGCAATCAGCTCGACCCCCAAGTCAAGCGCAAGCCCTTCACTGGTACCCCTTTTCAATCTTTATTTACATTGCGATTGTTAGCCCATGACAAATGTACCAAAACGTAACCTTGGTCTGAAACTTTTTGCATTTGCAATATCTATGTGATATGTTGTTCTCTGGTTACCTTTATGGATTTGATACATGGTGCATTCTGTCGTTCATGCGGATCTTATATGCGTCTATGTCTTGCTTGTTAAACATGTCACCTTTCTTCTGCAGAAGAGGAGGACCGTATTATAATGGCAGCTCATGCTGTCCATGGGAACAAGTGGGCATGTATCGCAAAGCTTTTGGATGGGAGAACTGACAATGCCATCAAGAACCACTGGAATTCCACCCTGAGGCGTCGATACTGCAATGATGGCCGATGCAAGCATGGTGGTTCTGTGCAGCGAAGTATCCCGGAGGTGTCCAGGGCAGTTTCAGAAGAACCTTGGCCTTTAAAAGATCTTAGTTCCTTCACTGCTATGGATGTAAGGGATGCTCCTGTGCAAACAGTTCCAGAGACTTCTGCTGGGGCATGGCACATCACAGATCAGTGTTCTATTACTCAAGGTGTTGATCCACCCTACCTGTCCCGACCAGCTGCAAAGATTGGTGCTTTCAGACCATACAATCTAGGACACACGGAACCTACCCAACAAGAAATGCCAAGTTCTGTCGTCAAGTCTGACTCGACTCATAAAGTCTTGACTCCTGAAAGTGAGGTTTTCAAGTTTGTTGATCCTATATGCTTTGCTGCTGAGGTGCCAAACAAATGTGGGCATGGTTGCTGCGGTGCTCACGAGCAGCCTCGTAAGAACTCGTTGCTGGGTCCTGAGTTCAACGAGTTTGAAGATCATCCACCGATTTTAAATACTAGCTTTGCTTCATTGGTATCAGAAATTAGCAGCATTGCCTGGATGAGAAGTGGTATGCAAAGCAGTGATGCCAGTACCTTGTTTCAGTCAGTTCCGCCAACCTGACAAAGTAAGAATCTTATGAACTTGCATGATGGAATATTTTGTAGTTGTTTGTTATTTCAGACATAGTGATGTCAGGTCATTAATTACAATCCTGAGGCTCACTGTCAATAGGCGATGATGCATTTTCTTTTGCAGGCATTAGTTTGTATTTATTTCAGTGTTTCCACCATAATATACTTCTGTGTTAGTCTAAAGTAGATACTGTATTATACCATGTGTGGATTGCTTAAGGCACTGGCCATGTTTATTTCATTGTAGAAAAGATGCATGCTATTTGTTTGATGTTTGTAGTTGTCTTCAGTTCATCACAGGGCATTGAAGTAAAAGAAGTAAGCAGCCAAAATATGGACTGGTTGTCTAGGAAACATATCTTTGAAAAGTGGTTCAGCGGTATGTTAACGAATTGGTGAAAATGAAATTAGGAGATCCAAGCTTAGCACGGTTGGTGGAAGTTGTCGGGGAGCAGTTCACCTGTGGGTTTGATCCCTGGTGCTCGAAATCAGGTAGTATAAAAGCTCCACGGCCCCTTTCCAAAAACTGAGGCGTTTTGCTAATTTATGGCTGTTATACTTAGCTTACGATAGAACTGTGCTACTGCAGATAATGTAGTAATGGGATAATGATTTGATAATGCTCTTCCTGTAATGTCTGCTTGTGCAATAAGTTTGTTCCTTGAGTCATTTCCATGCTGTTTTATTGCATGTTTGTTACTTTCTCCACTGGGTCATGATTATCTAGGTTGCTTGTGCATGATAATTCAAATTTTTCATACAGCATATGGTTTACTTGAATGTGCTTTATGGATTCTCGTACAGATTGTCTTTTACATTAGTTCCGTCTATCATTTGTGGTACATACTATAGTTTAAGGCAACAACACATTTCATGATGCCATTTGTGTAATCCACATAGCTTCTGGATTAGAAACATATTATGCTTACAAATCTTATGCTATTGTCAATGAAGATATATTCTTTTTCTTCACGTAGGATCTGATGTAAATATATATGCTATTCACACCTCTTTTTGTGGTATTTTGTTTGGTATAACATGATCACTTAATCTCGAAAAGTGCTATGTAAAATTAGCTCTTGAGATACTTTAATATATGCATCACATTTCTTCAAATTCATTTTTTGTTCTTCAAAAAGTATAACTTGTTATATATGTTTATGTAATGTTTGATTGGTATCTTTTCGCAACATCGCTGAATTTTGGTTCTGAACAGATGTAATCTGGATTGTGTATTTGTGTTACTTAATCCATGACTATATTCAGTCACAATTGGTGAATCTGAGAGTTTGTGCGTGTTTTTTTGGGTGGTGTGGGGTCTCTAATGGCTCTCTTTCTTTGCCTCTTTGGTGAACATGACATTCTGTTTACCTTCTAGCTGGGTTATGGTGACTAAACGAAATCTGACTTCAATGCTATATGCTTCAGGACATGTGGCAGTTTCTTCACTTTGCACTTTGCTTTCTCTGGAAATAAAAATGTTTCCTTTTGTTTTCCTAAATTGGAACAGAATAAACAGATTGCCCTTTCTATGCACTCATGACTCAGCATCATTTCTTATGTAGCACTGGTATCACTGTATTTGCCATGATTCGGAGTATCATGTTAAATTCTGCATTCTTTTATGTCTTGCAATGGCATAAAGTTAGTGACCATTCCGTCTTCTACAAAGTTTTTTTTTAATGGCGATCTTCTACAAAGTATATACTCCCTCTGTCCCAAAAAAAAGTGCAATTCAAGATTTGAACTAAGTCAGGTTTTATTAAGTTTGACTAAGTTTATAGAAAATAGTATCAACATTTATGTCTCCAAATAGTTTTACTATGAAAACATATTCCACAATTAACTAATGATATTTATTCGGCATCATAACTATTAGTACTTTTTCTATAGGTGAAACTTAAAAAATTTTGACTCCTTGAAAAGCGAGAGTTGCACTTTTTTGGGGACAGAGGGAGTCAATCCTAAATGATAGTGGTGACATCAACTGTAGTTTCTTTTTTTTTATGGTCGACGGAGGGGGAGAGAATCCCCCACCTGGATATTATATCATTTGGCTCAAAAGCCTGAGTTGAAGAGTACAACTTTGATGAAAGAAGCAATTAGAGCAGCTGATACATCAATAGATTACATTGCCTGTAGTTTCTTGTCTCTGTCTCTTTCATGTTCCTTCACAAGTTATCTTTTCTAGAGATCAGATTTCTCTCAGTGTCACCATTGCTTCTGCTGTCTGTCCAGTAGAGTCCTGTGAAAAGCTGGATTCCTGTCTTCCTAGCTCCTAATGATGCTTGTTGGAGACAGCCAGGAATATGACTTGTCATTATCAGGATGAAATGCTCTTTTTTGGTGATAAGATGAAATGCTCTTGTTATTTGTGTGATAGTTGGTCAGTGCAATCATGTTAGGCTGGTAGCTGGTTAGTCTTGCTTTGATTAGACAGCATATTCTGCTTTGTAATTATCAGAATAGTTCAGAAATTTTCTTGCTTTCAAGTTTCTATTTGCTTTTTGGTTCTATATGTCTCGTCTGCATTTCCCTCCACCCTTGTAGTCTTGTTGTGATGTCTATCGCCAATTGGTTTCCTTCTGAGGGATTGTAAACAGTGGCTATTCGTAGCACTTCTTACTATCTTACTGCATGATCAATATTACAAAGAATTCCTTATTTGACACCAGACAAATGACTCATTCCTTTCTTGGCCCTCAAAAAATTTTCGTTCCCTATTTGATACCGAGTTCAACTTTCGTTCCTTATACGACATTCCGTTGGGTTTGCCATCCGTGAACCATTAACTGACATGTGAAAAGAAGATTTTGCCCCCGTGGGCCCCACCACCCTTCTCCCTCCTCTCCTCCCTTTCTCCACGGCCCGGCTCCCAGGTGCACTTCTCAATGTACCACAGCACTTCTCAATGGCATTTCATCGAGCAGGTGATGGGCACATGCCAGTCCAACACCCAGGTGCAGTGGCGATCTTGGCGCGGCGGCGGAGGCACCACGCACGCGCGAGGCCGCGCGTGGCGCGACTCGGCACGGCGGTGGCAACGGTCACGCACGCGCGCAGCCGTCTCTGTGCGGCGGCAGTGACGGCACGCATGCGCTCTGCTAGGTGCGGCGGCGGCCACCAGGTCGGCCACGGTCCACTCAGCGGACGCCATGACGCGTGCGGCTGGCCACATGCTTTCATCGCACCGCCACGCTCACGAGAACCTTGCTCGGCGTCCTCCTCGGACTCCTCCCGTGTCACCACCGTCCGGGCGGGAACCGGAACGGAAGCTTCGGCTGCTGGCGGCGACGGCCGGCGAAAGGTGTCAGCAACATCTTGGGCCTCGCCTCGCGGGGGTGGTGGTGCCGCTTGCGGTCTCCGCGCCTGCGGAACGACGCCGACCGCCATTGAAGTCAAGCGCACCACCGTCATCGCCTTTGCCGATGCTTGCCGCCGAGCGCTTTGCTCTTATTCGCCGCCGGCGGCGCTTGAGGAGGAGGCATCGCGTCGCGTGCATGATCGCGAAGCGCCGACCGGCTGCAGAGCGGGGCTCTAGACGTCGATCGAGGCGATCGGTCCGCTAGTGACGACTACGGACGAGTCACGTTCGGTGGTGGCGGCAAGGCTCGCGGCGGCCGGACGACGAGGCGGTCAATGCTGCACAGGTGAGCTCCGCATCGGAGGACGCCGGATCTCGCAGGGAGGAGCCGAGCCGGAGGACGCCGGATCTCGCACGGAAGTGGGTGCGCCAGCAACTTCTTCGGAGGCCATGGTGGTGGTGTGAGCCGCACGTGCGTGGACATGTGAGCTCTTCGCCGAGCCAGGCGGAGGAGAGGAGGGAGAAGGGTGGTGGGGCCCACAGGGGCAAAATCGTCTTTTCACATGGCAGTTAACGGTTCACAGATGGCAAACCCAACGGAGTGTCGTATGAGGAACGAAAGTTAAACTCGGCGTCAAATAGGGAACGGAAATTTTTTGAGGACCAAGAAAAGAACGTATATCTGTACTAATCGTGATATCCTCTAATTGTTCTCTCTGGTCTCCTTGCTCTGTGCTGTTGCTATCTGGTTTATGGTGTTTCTGGAGCTTTTAATTATGTGCCTCCACCCATCACCTAGTTATTGATAGACTGCACATGCAGCCTAACATGAGCTTAGACACGCACGTGGTTTTGGTTTATATGGGATAGTATAATCGCTGAATCAATTCAGATTTCCTGCCTTGGTCGCCAGGATTAGGTCCTGATGCTCCGTAGGCATTAGGTGAGGAAAATCTTAGAAGCTGTTCGGCTTTCAAGCGAACAGAGCCTTAGACTAGACGCATAAATGTTAGTCTTTTAGAGCGCAGGACCAGGCAAAGGTGAAAGCCTACTTACCTAGTGATGAATATGTCTTGCAAGATTGCTCCTTTGCTAATGCCTGATTTTTGTCAATTTGGCACCTAATCAGTTCAGACACAATGCTCCTTCTATCTTCGGAGCTGCTGCTCCATCCACCATCCTCCATGGATGCAGTTCTTTACAGCCCTTTTGGGTGATGGAAGTTGCAGGAACGTGCGTGCCCCGGTTGCCACCAGGCGATGGGCCTGGTGATCCCACGCTATTCATTGTAGGATGCGCCTGTGCCGATGTGGAGATTGAATATTCTGTCCATCACGGGGCCCGGCCATGGCCCATGGGGGTGCTGATTGGGAACGGGAACAGCTCGATGCGTCGGGAAATTATGGGGTTAGGATTTCGATTTGATGAATGAATAGCGCTGGTTGCCTTGGGGCAGATCTGACTGAGACTGAGTTTTGGTGTGTGGTTGCCTTGGGGGCAGATCTAACTGAGACTGAGTTTTGGTGTGGGTTATAGTAAGCGAAACCAAAAAAAAAAATTCATCTAAACGCGCCCTTAGCTATCGGTGTTGCCAGCCTCGAATGATTTGATTTGATCTCCCTAGATTCCTCCTGCCTGTGTCGCATGTGTTAGTTTTGGGGTAGCATCTGCACACAGGCTCGAGCTGAAATTTAGCTTACGCCGATTTGACGTGAGAAGCTAATAGGGCTGTGAACTGTGTGTGAAGGCATGAAGCAGAAGCTACTTCCTAGACTTGGGTCCAGTTTAGTAGCAAAAAATTTTGCAAAATTGGCTTACGCCGATTTGACGTGCATTAAATATAAAAAAAAATAGGGCTAATGAACTGTGTGTATGAATCTTTGAAGCAGAAGCTATTTCCTAGACTTGCCATCGAGATGTAAACAAGGCCTTGGATCGAGATCACGGCTCTCTTCATCCGGCTCGGTGCTCCTCCATCCAACCTTTTCTCCTGGCATTTTATAATTAATGTTGAAGCATTTCCTGGCATTTTCTCCTGGAGTAGGAGTAGCAGGCAGCACACGTTTGGAGACACCGACAATCATGTTGTAATAATGATTTGTTGTGCTGAGAATAATTGGATAAGCGTCACCGCTTGATGCCGCGTCGAGTTCACAGGACGCATGCTGCTAGTTCCCTATGGTTTTCACTGGGCGTGCGGCCAGGAGACGCCATTGGTCTCGCCGGTGGCTCCGTTCTGCAACCTGCCGAAGCCACACCGCGCATGGCTCCCACTCGGGTCACACGAGAGCACAGCTGCATAAACATCTGCCGACGAATGAAGCCGTACATGCACTGGTACCGTACCCTGCCGGTCAAACTTGCAAAATTGTGGGAATTAGCGAGACCCGATGCGACGGCCAAACTCCAAAATGGCGCAACTTGCAGGTAGAATGGGATGAACAATGGTTATGGAGAAAGACCCGAAGAGTTAGGTAGTGTTTAGTTCAAGGCAAAAGAAAGACCTGAAGAAGTTAGTCATCATGAAGCATTAAATATAAATAAAAAATAAAACTAGTTAGAGAACATGGTTTATGATTGGACACTAATCGTCAAATCTCCATTGAAGAGCATTTTACAAAAAATGGATATCTACTCCATTGACATGGATATCTACTCGCTTAATTACCTTTTACCTTTTGCCTTTTTTATGAATTATTATCTTCTTTTCTATATCTTTTTAATCTTTAGTTTCTTTGCTAATGTCTTGAGGTCCATGAGTGTTACTGTAAAATTGTAGTCGTAGAAGTGTAATGGAAAGAGAATTTCGACTATAGTGTTGTCAATTCTGTTGTCATTTATACAAATGATGATGCATTTAAATAGGTGGACTACTTGAACTGTAGAAGTTGATCTCACATATTTTCCTTTTATAGTTAGAATTTATGCGTACCTGAAAAAGTTACTTAATGTGGTCCTTAGCGTTAGCATGGGCAATATGCTAGTTCTTTTTAGTTATAGTCTACTGCATCTATCTAAAAAAAGAATACAATTCAAAATTAAAATTCAAGTCAAACTTTTTTAAAACTTCACTAATTTATAGAGAATGTTGTTAAACTCCAGATAGGTATACTGGAAAATTAGGTCTTATTTTGTAGGGCTCTTTCTCTCTTCACATGGACTTCTCTTACTAAATTGTTTGGTAGAACTCCTCCGTAGAAACCGGAACCGAAACAAGAGAGAAGCCCTACTAAACGGGGTCTTAGTTTTTTTAATATTAGATTAGCAATAGATTTGGTCAAACTTAAAATTATTTAAAACATTTTAATATTTGAAAAAAAACGAGAATTGCATCTTTTGGGACGGGAGAGTATCATCTTCCCCGCCTTTCCAGCATTCAGGTTCGCTGTTGCCATCACGTGAAAAAGTTGATATCGACCTGGAGCATCGCATCGGCAATCGGCGGCAAGGTGCACGGGGGTGCGACTGCCCGCGCGGGCGCAGGCGGCAGGCACAGGACTCCTGATGTCTATCAGCCCTGTCCTGCAAAGCAGATCAGGCAAAGAACCCGCGGAAAAGCAACGAGGAGGACCGATTCCGAGCGCGGGCAGAGATTGCCCGAAATATCTCGCGCCAGTGTCGAACCCAAATCAAGCCGCGTCTCCTCCTCAAGACCATGGTCGCGGGCTCGCGGCTCAGGTGGCAGCGGTGGCGCCACTTCGCAGTGAGAGGTTAACCAGCTGTCGGTCGGCCTCGCTGAAAGCTGAGGAAGGAGACGGAGTGGAACAACCAAATGAATGCCATGCTCACACAGGCGACCTCGTTAATTAAACGCGATGATTTTGCCTATCATATCATGGTGAGGTGAACCCGTCCGTGGCTGCTGTTCCTTTCGTGCCTTGCAAGCGCCGGCTGTGCGTGCCGTGTGTTTCTTGGTCTCGGCGGTGGTTGGACCAAGGCCCGGGTCAGGGTCACGCCATGAATCGAACTCGAACCGTACGACGACGCTGCTGCGATTACCGACAAATGTACACTGTTACTGTACTGGGGTGCGAGTGCATCACCTGATGACGTTTCTTCTCGTGTTGTTGGAAATCAATGGGCAATGGCACGGCCTAGGACGTCATGTGCTCATTCAATTCATGCAACCACCTGATGGCACGGCCTAGGACGTCATGTGCTCATTCAATTCATGCAGTTCATTTGTACCACAGAGGTTGGCTAGCTCGACACGACGACACCTAAATCATACGGAGTACTGAACGTGTAGGGTAGACGAACCATCGTGCTGACTCCCAGTCCCAGAGTCCCAGGCACTGCAGACACATCACAAGTCTTGCAGTTGTTGCCCCCTTGTACAGTAGAACTAGTCTACTCCACGTCCACGGACGACGCGAGACGGGTCCCCAAAGGCTGATGAAAGTCGGGCCCCGAGACACGAGACGGGCAGGCGGCCAGCCATCCCAGCACCAGGTCTCTTGTCTCTTCTTCTCCCTTCTTCCCCTCCACCACGTCCACGGCAAAGTCCTTTTATTTCCCCTTCTCTCCTCCTTCCGCCTAGTCTCCCAGCGTTTTGAAGCGTAGAGCAACTTCACCGCTTCTCAGCTCAGCTCCCCTCTGCCCTTGCCTCTTCTGTTTTGTTTTATCTGCTGCTGCGGTCCACGACCCTGGATCTTCGACAGAGATAACTTAAAAATCCAATCCTGCAGCAGCCAGCCTCCATATTTGCGACTCTCTTAGCGTGTGCCGTCAGCCGTGTGGTTGTAGCCTCCACCCGCTTTGGTTGGATTCTTGTTGCCGCTTCTTCTCGTGATCGGCGCATTGGGTTGAGGATTCTTCACGTTTGCTTTCCTGGACGCCGCCTGCAATAGCGGTACCATTTACTGCGCGCTTTCGGCGCTCCTTGTCTGCTGCCTTCCCAATTTGCTCTTATCCGGAGTGGATGCCGGAGCAGTACGAGTGATTCCTTTCCGTTTCTTGGATTAGCTCCGTAGGTTTCTTTGGTGGCCATGGTGGAGCAATCGGCGATCGCCGCCGCCGCCACCGCCGCCGTCACTGCCGTGGAGCCTGGCGTGGAGCGGGGACACGTGAGCGGCGGCGGGCGGCGGCTCGCGGGGGAGAGCTCGGACGAGGAGGAGGAGGGGAGCCAGCGCTTCTCGGATGCTGACGACCGGTCCTGGCACTCGCACTCGCGGCAAGGCTCCGCCTTGGAGGACTGTATCTCCACGTCCGCGCCCATCAGCTGCGACACCGGCGCCGCCACTGCCGGCGGCGGGGACACGGCCACCGAACGCGCCAGGAAGTCGTGCGTGTCGGAGTGCTCGCTGGACGACGACGTCGTCGACCTGGAGGCCGGGCTGGCCGAGATCACCAAGGCCAGCCCGGACAAGGCCGAGAGGAACTGCCGCATCTGCCACCTTGGCCTTGACAGCGCCGCCGTCGAGTCCGGCGCCGGCATCGTGCTCGGCTGTTCCTGCAAGGCCGACCTCTCCCGTGCCCACAAGCAGTGCGCCGAGACCTGGTTCAAGATCAGAGGCAACAAGTAAGCCCACTCACTGCTATCTCCATGCATCATCCGCTTTGCATGATTGCCATTACATGTCGAGTTTTACAGTTATTACAGGCTAGAATTAAAATATCTTCATGTGTTTACGAGTTCTTTGCAACTGCAAACATGGCTTTTGTGATGAAAAAAAAAAACATGCCATGTATCTGCACGAACATGTGGCTAAGGAATCTGTAATTGGAATTCGATATTTTGCTTTAACTAGGTGGGTTGATAAAGGTCTCAAGGGGATGTGGTGGTGGGGATAAAGTGGAATCGGTTGTAGTTGATTCGTAGGTTATGGAGGGGCTTGGAATGGCCATATATATGATAGAACATTGGAGAGTGGATAAAGTAGGATTCCCTCTTTCGGGCTGGTTCTCTCGCAGATTCCTGTGTAGTTCTCTAGATCCTGAATGTGAGTCACTTTGTTATGGTGGTCCTGGTGCCATCGTGTCGGCTTCCACTCAAGTGTTTACTTCGTGAAAGTAACTTGTCATAGTTCACCCAAGATGGGTGTGCCAATTGTTTTCTAAATAGTTCGTTTAGGCTGAGAATTCCACATATAGGATTTAGGACTGAAGTTTATAAGGGTTATAAGCACTACCGGTCACTGAATCCGAAAATATGCTCCGCAGCTGTGCTTTTCGTGTCAAACATTATTCAGAAGATGCTTAATCTAAAAGAGCGTTTATAGTGGCAGGTGCAGTTTTCCCGTCACAATCAGGTATATAAATGCTAGATTTGTATAGAGTTACAAGCTCAATTGGAAATGCTGGGCACCCCTCAAATTGAAAATCTTTCTCTGGCTGAGGTTTAAAGGTTGCCACTGGACCGCCGATTGTTGACAGCGCCATGGACTTGAAGCAAGTTCTGGTTGTCACTTCTGTGATCAGGAAGAGCGAGACGTGTGATCACCTCTGTTTCCTGTTCATACACACTACAAATATGGTGTAACATCCTGTCAGGGCTAGGAGTGGCATGTCCCCAACCATCAGAGAACCAATCGATATAGGGCCTTGTTTAGATCCCATCAAAATTCCAAAGTTTTTTCACTCTCTCTCCATCACATCAATTTTTGAACACATGTATGGAGCATTAAATGTAGGTAAAAAAATAATCAATTGCACAGTTTAGTTGTAAATTACGAGATGAATCTTTTGAGCCTAGTTAGTCCATGATCAGACAAAGTTTGTCAAATACAAACAAAACGTGCTACAGTATCCAGATTGCAAAAATTTGCAATCTAAACAAGGCCTAGGATTGGTGGCTACAACTACGTGGCGCTTGGAGGGGGATCAAAACAGAAGGGGTTCGACTCAGCTCTTTGCTGTAGTAAGCTGGCAGATCTAGAAAGGGAGGAATGCCCAGTTGTTCCATGGAGAAACCTCGATGATCAATCAAGTGCTGCTCAAAATCTGCCAAGGAGAGCTCTGGATTGAAGCGGGTGCCACAAAGCTAGGCTGTTTAGTTCATACGTAACAGAATAACTGCTACTTTGTTTGATTCAATCCCGCTAGCTAGGTTGTCTGTTCATCTGTAATAGCTTCTAGTGAACCAGGTTGACGAGCAGTGATGCTATGCGTGTTGTAACAAACTCTTCTATCTTAATACAAAGATACGCAGGCCTCATGTGTGTTCGAGAAAAAAAAAAGTCTAGATTTGTGGTTGGCAGTTATAGTAAAAATGAAGTGGGGAAAGGCACATTCCATAAGAGGAGAACCTGAGTTAAGGTACATCAGTAGAGCCTTATTTCTGGACTTTCTCCTGTGCACTCTCAGATTTTTAATCAACCATGTCTGTAGATCTTTTTTTTTTGCGAAGAACCATGTCTGTAGATCAAACATACATGAAAATAACTTCACACCAACCTATCATCTTGAAGAAACGTCAATTAAGAAAAAGGATGCATTAAGTACCCTTCAATTCAAGTGCAAACATCCAGATGAATTTTGGGTGGTGTTGTGTGTGTGGTGGACTGGTGGTAGTGGTTGTGGGGGGGGGGATGTATACAGATTTTCAGTTGCTTTATTGTCAAGGTGTTATAGCCAAGTCTTTTACTACTTATGTCTATAACAGCAAACTTTTTTTTCCCAAAACAATGCATGCGTCTTTCCAAACCTCCCTAGTTATTTTGATACTATTGAAAATTATGAAAGTGAGTTTATATTGTTATGCATGATATCAATAGACACCCTCTTGTGTTTAATGATTAATCACTTGAATTGAGGTAACCATGAGAAGTATATAAATGGAGTCAAGATAAAAATGCAAAGATGCATCAATATCCTTACAAAATCACTAGACATAACTTTGCTGCACTAGTTCAGATGAAACTAGGCCTATGTTATCTGTTCATCTTGATTCAGTTTGTATCATATTAAAGCTTTGCGTTGCTTACGGTATAGTATTTGAGTAGTTGCGCATTATGAAATATGTTGCCCTGGTGTCATTTTAAGCATATTTGCATCGCAACATATTACTCAATCCAAACAAGGATCTCTTTTAAGCTTCTCCATCCCTTCTTTCATTGTCTTAGGATCTGCGAAATCTGTGGCTCAACCGCGTGCAACGTGGCAGGTTTCTGTGATGCGGACTTCATCGAGCAGTGGAATGAATCAAGCAACACTGCAGCTGCCCAGGCAACAGCCAACGAGCCTCGGAGATTTTGGCAAGGGCACCGGTTCCTCAACTTCCTTCTCGCTTGCATGGTGTTTGCGTTCATTATATCCTGGCTCTTCCACTTCAATGTTCCTGGATGAGTACTCTCTTGGTGCACATTGTTCTTAATAAAAGCTCCAAAAGCATGACAGACGAAGTACGGACAAGTTTCATGATGCAAATTGGCTGAGCATGAGAAAAGAACTGGAGATGAACAAGAGTTGCTTGGGTGAAATGAAGGGTGGTGTTAATTTTATAGAGTACAACACCACATGCCGCAGAAAAAGAAGAAGAAAGCGGGCTATTCTGTAAAGATTGGTGGTGGTGAGTGGGGAGTGGAAGTTCTTGTTTTCCATTGCTTCATGCTTGCATGATTTGTGTACCTTCTGGTTGAGCAGCTTAATAGATATTCTTGGCTCTTAGCTTAGTTGTATCGGTGTTTTCGGACCACCGATGAGTAAATTTGTATTTGCATGTCTGGCTTGGATGGTGTGTTCGGAGGACACAAGAGTTTATACTGGTTCGGGCGGAACGTCCCTACGTTCAGTTCGCTGCTCCTCGTGTTACCGGCACTTGGTTCTTAGTAGGGGTTACAAACAGGCGAGAGAGGGAGAAGATCCCAAGTCTCTGTTGGAAGGAGTGAACGGGGGCTGAGAGCTCTTTGCCGCTTAGACGTGTGCTCGTATCGTGCTCTTGTGTCCATATCTCTTTTTCATGGGGCGTCTTGCTTCCTCTTTTATAGGTGAAGGAAAAACACGGGTTTCATAGAAAAAAAAAAGAACGAGAGAAGAAAGCTTCTAGAGTTATCAGGTCCTTCTCCTTCATGCGGGTCCCACCGATCATGTAGATGTCAACCGGGATGGCTTCTTGTCGCGATCCTGTTCGTCACTGGCGCCATGCGCAAGCGTCATCTATCAGTCATGGCGTTCCACTCCGTCCCAGCGGACGTCATGGTGAACTGACACGCCTGTCAGCGTCCGTACGAGGATTAGGCAGAACAACACCGGCACGTCCGACACTGTTCTTGATATGAATCCCCAGGTATGGCCTGTCATGGCCACAGGTTACATCGAGGCGTGCCAGCCTCTTCCCTAGCGTCAGAGTTTTAACCCAGGCCCATACGCTTGGACCTGGAGTGGTTGGCGGCGGTATGGGTCCCCGTCAGACGAGACGGAACCCGCGTCCTCGAGGTCAGGCGAGACGGAGCCCGCGACCTTGGGCGAGACGGAAATCGTGTCCTTGGGGTCGGACGAGATGGAGCCCGCACCAAGGGGTTAGGCGAGACGGAGCCTGCGGCCTCGAGGTCGGGCAAGACGGAGCCCGCGGCCTCGAGGTCAGACGAGACGGAGCCCATGGCCTTGGGCGAGACGGAACCCGCATCCTTTGGGTCGGACGAGATGGAACCCGCACACAAGGGGTCGGGCGAGACGGAGCCTGCGGCCTTAGGTCGGGTGAGACATTTTAATACGTCTCGAGTCATTCGAGGAAGTCAGCGTGGGAGTTAACTTCCTTGCTTTGAGTATTCCTAATATCGATACCGATGAGTTAGGTTAAATTCTTTGTGGTAGAATATGTCTATCTAGGTCGAACAGTATATGTGCTCGACTTTGCATAGGGGATCATATTGTCTTGGATTTATTCTAGAAATAAATGATGCTTTATGTGTTGGGCGGTGTACTCGTTGACAGTGAGGTTCAAATAGGCCATGCAAGAGGCATTGCGGCGAATCAAATAAGACATCAAAGAAGCAGGAGAGCCGCCGAATTTTCATTATTTAGGATAGTTTGCAGGACACTACACCTTGTCCAGGACAGAATTCTTGCATCCTAGACAGGCAACAGCTAGTACAGGATAGGGTTCTGGTCCATCCTGTAGTCCTTCAATGAATCCAACCCGGTCTCACCGGAGCACGTCTTAGTTATGAATTATGATAGCCACTCCATGGTCTGATCTGCCCGAGAGGGAAGGATCGACGTACCCAAACGGCAGCATCAGGTTCCGCAAGTTTAAATACTACTAATTAGAGTATCGATGTACTCCAGCTCCAAATAGCCAAACGTGGGGCTGCGTCCAGTAACATGCAGCTTGCCCCGATTGAAGGAAGATGCACTCGAGCTACGGCAATCAGCACTTGTTAATTGCACGACATTTCAGATGAATCTTCTTCAAAGATATGTGCAAGTAGTTGCGAAGTTGGCAACATTTCTGCAATTGCACGGTAGAGGTAGCACAAGCACAAAAGCCATTTATTCAGAGAGATTCAGACTACAACTGTTGGCTATTATGGCAGAAATGGGAAAGCTTTTTATCATTATAGGGCTTATTTAGATTGGGGTTAGGAATGAGTATTTGACATTGTAGCACTTTCGTTTGTATTTGACAATTATTGTTCAATCATGGTCTAACTAGGCTCAAAAGATTCGTCTCGTAATTTACAATTAAACTGTATAATTAGTTATTTTTTTATCTACATTTAATATTCCATACATGTGTTCAAAGATTTGATGTGATAGAGAGAGTGAAAAAACTTGTAATCTAAACAAGGCCTAGACTGTAGACTAATATGATAGATGTCATAGTGGAGCAGAGCAGCTGCCATATATCGCTTCACAAGCCGTGCATCGCATTCAGTGTACTCGGGCCACGCACCTGCACGGCTGCACCGCTGACATGGGTATGGGTATGGGTAAGCGCCGCAAATGCAAACCGGCCATGTCACATGGCAAGAAGCTCCGTGCACGGAACGCAGCGGATGCACGTGCTTTGCATCGCTCGTCTTGCGGCATCCCCAGCCAAGCGCTGCCTTTTTTTTTTTTTTTCTTTAAGAGCGCCGTACCCGTGAGTAGGTGAGCCATTCAGGTCTCGTGAGCCCGGTGGACGGTGGTCTATACCGTCATTCGATTCGATATGCCCGGTCAGCTCGGATAAGTGGTAGTTGGATATTCAAAGGGGTATCACAGAGCTCCAACAAAAGCGATCATTACAGTTTCTCACGTTAAACTACCAACCAGCATAAGTTAGTCATTACTCATGACCACAGATGAATAGTTTTTTTTTTGATCGAAAACTAGCTGAATCTAATTGATATTTACATCAAACATCAATCTCTCTCTAATATCATCGATTCTGAAAGGTCTACGCTGATTCCAGTTCGTTTGGAGAAATCTGGATGAATCTAGATAATGTGCAAGGAAGCGAACAGTGTTTTTCATCCGGGAGCAGTGTTTTCCAGCTGGTTTTATGACCAGCCGAACAGCCCCTAAGATGCAAAACTGTAGCTGCGGCCTCTGAGAAAAGCCACGAGATTCTGATTCTATTACAGTTTCTACCACTACTTCAACACCTCATTTATCTGTCATCGTGCCATGGAGAGCAGAACAAAATGTTGCTGCAGCCTTGCGGGTACCTGAGAAACCTTTCATCATACAGTGATACTGAGGCACACCACGCAATTTTCTTTTTCCTCGCAGACTCACGTGTGGATGTTAAAGACAATATGACAAAGAAAGGCTGCTGATCATGTCCCAGTAGGGGTGGCATCAGACACTGTGTGGTTCGTGTCTTCTCCATGCTTTCCATTCATCTGCACTCGTTGTCGCTGAAATAATCAGAAAAAAAGATGTATCAAGAAAGCTCAGTACCAAAAGCACGAGGTTATGATGTAATGAGCTGAGAAAGCAATGATATATAATGTGATAATACTATAGTGAGGTATCCCAAACCATTTGGGATAATTCAGAAATCAAGAGGTGATAAGAAATGTTCTATAGTACCCAATCTGTAGCATCGACAGTGTTTCCATTTAACAATTTATGGAACTCATCCATCATCCTCCCGTCCTTCTCAAGTTTATGAAGTTCTTCCTTCATCCTGCCGTCTTTATCCTTTGAGCTTACAGGAAGCAAAGATAATCCATTTGTACGATCTGGCATTTCTGCAGAATTACCACAAAAGTTTGTAACAGAATGCATCATATGGCTGATTTACATGTTACAAGAGAGTATAAGATTGTACCTGGCAGCTTCTTATCAACAAAGAACACAACCAAATTAACAGTGTACCTGTGGAAAGAGACTGTCAAAAGGAAGGCAGACGGTAAGATAAACATAATCACTGAAATTGGGTTTTGTCCTACCAAGCAACAACAACATCCACAGTGTAGTGCTTGCGAGAAGCAATTATAAGAAGACTCTGAATTATAGCCATCAGCCAAGAAAGGAGCTTAATCAACCTACAAGATAAGCAATCCACCAGTAAAACTAGAACATGTGAACAAGGTTGACTTGTGGGCAACTAATTTGAAAAATGTCACACAAACTACATGCAAGACACACAGGGGAAACACATGATCACCACAATAGATTTCAGTACCTGTTTGAGCCATATTTATGATATGTGCGTACGAAAACAAGGGTAAAGATCATGTGAGATGAAAATATCAGATCACCACAACCAAAAAGCACTCCACGAGGAACTGCAAGGAACAATTTGAATCAACAGAACTTTCCACCCACAACAGTAGGCCGACAACAGAAAACTTACAGTTAATCAGAAGCACTTCAAGTGCATTATTTGGTGGTGGGAGAGTGGCCAGTTTTGAGCCCTATGAAAGCAAAAGGTAAATGGTTTGGAATAATTTTGTAAGCGATAGTGTTCAAAAGTATATGTTTTAGCTAGAATGAGAAATCAAGGTTACCTCACGACAGTGATAATTGGGACCAGGAAGTTGAGTGGAATAGAATGTTATAATCCTTAAAAACTGCGAAGCCTGGACAAGAAACTATGATCACTTGTTGAAACATGGATACAATCTATAAACCACCAATGTTAAGACAATCAAACTTACAACTAGAAATGCCAGCACCCTTCGCCATAGTAGAACAGTGTAGAAACGTTTGCTATGATAAATAAAAGGGTGAAAACTCCACTGCAGTACAAAAAGGAAATTAGCACATACCAGGGCTCAAACAGGTACTAAAACATGATCAACCATAAATATGAGGATACAAAAATAAAATTAGCACATACTATTACAGAAAAATAGCATAAGAAAATTAGGAAATTATGCAATGGACACTGAGAGCGAGTACAAACACAAGTCAGTGTAACAAAACATTAACAAACAAACATTTTGTAAGTATAGACATTAGGGATTTACATGAAACTTAAAATCTAACCTTGACAAACATAGACTGATAAACAGTACCCTCAAAATGAGAGCTCGAATTTAACTAAAGCTAACTCATACTGGAGGTTCCAATAATTTCATACTGTGATTAATTGGCCCATGGTCTTCATGCAGCAAAATCACATTAAGTTAAATTACTAGGTTTGGCATATCAATCTAGATGACCACCACTTCTGATTTTACTGCTCAATGAGACTGATTGCAGCATATATTGTTTAATTTCAACATTAAATGCACACACACACACACACACACTCATGGTACAAGTAATCAACATCCAACAGATAAACTGCAAAGTAAAAGGTCACCTACCAACAGAAAGGAAATGAAGATGAAAGTGAATACGCTCTCACTAAGATAACCTTTCTCTTGGCCAAGCTCCTGCCATATAGCGGTGTGTCACCAGTGGCACAAAACAAATCAATGTTGTGTATTATTTTATGAACATGAATCTGAATAAAGGCATATGACATACTGGAAGGGCCATAAATCCCAAGTCCTGGAGCAGTGGTCCGGGCCGATGCAAGTAATGTACTCCTCGAGCAGCCAATCCATGGATGTACTAGTTATAGCCAAAATGATTGCATAAATCTCCAAAATCATTCATTGTTGAACTGATAAAAATATGTTAAGTAAATATTGAGAAGACAATGCAGAATTATGAGATTCAGATATTAGGGAGTTTCTGCGGCCTCAAAATGGAGAACACTGAAAGACTTTATATTAGAAGCAATTGGTGTGTTCCTTTGCTGCTTATCAATTGAACTAAAGAAGTCACTAGTTTCCAGTTCTACCAACTGTGCACATAGAAAAACTCAGTGACTACTGAGGTCTACAAAGCTCTTGGCTCATCAAATGAAGCAAAGTGCAAAACAGTTATACAATAGAAGCACCAGAAGATCTTCCAGTGACAACAAAAGATTGATATAAGAGGGATGCAGATTGCTTGGATAATCAACACACAGATGAGGCAAGCACAAAAGGCCTCAATTACGTTAAAGGAATAGAGAGGTTTAGAATCTCTAGAACCACCTAAACTAAATTCTCAAAATTTTGATTAGAGAAAATACAGCAGCCAAGGCAGATTGCCAGGATACATCATACATAGATCATGCTAGTGACATGCCAGGGCTAACCCAAAAGAGAATGGACGATACCAAAATACTATGGCTCAGTTAATTTAAGTGTCAAGACATAGGAAGTCTGAATATACAAATCTTCCACATTAAAAAGTTAACCCAAAGATGTTGTGTGCACAGCTATTGCTCTCTCTCTCTTGACGTCTAGGACTGCTATTTCCTTTCCTATAAAGCTTACATGACATGTGCTGTTATTTGTTACAATAAAACACAGCAAAAGAGTCACCTAAAAGAAAAATGGCAACCAACCCAGTTTACATGCAGAACAAAAATAGTTTCAAGATTTGGGGTACCCTGCTAACTAGGTAGACAGGTAGTTAGGTGCATTACATTTCTTCACACGTATTTTGATGACACAAATAAAGAGTTAAAAAAGAGAAATATAAAACGCAAGTTACAACATATTTCCAGGGGTCAATAACGTATCCATGCATTGAACTATGGGATAAGGCAAAGGTAACAATCCGCAAGACAAAATACATCATGATAAATTGCTTTTGACCAGAATAAAGAGCTAGACCCATGCTTTTACCACCCATGTGAATTCTTAGCTATCGTGCACATCATGCAACAAATATCAGTAGCTCAATGCAATACAGAAGGCACATCATGTAACCGATTTCACAGGATATATATCCTCACCCTTATCAACAACAAACCAACATGCCTACAAAACAAGAAGCACCTAGTGATCTCGAGCAAATGTTTATTCAGTCACTAAGCTTAGCATAAACTGAAGATGGGTTATTCTCGTTTCAATTGACAACACCCCGGAGAGTAACCATCATATGATTGGTGACAGCCCCCCAAATTAGGCACTAAGTTTAACAGAGCCAACTGAAAATTTTAAAAAGAACAGGGTCTGAGCCATCTGCAAGTCAAAAAGTGTGACACCCAGTAAACAGAAGCAATAAACTAACATCTCATGGTTATGCACTCAGGAGACACAATCAACCGAGATCGATCGGGAAGCTCACCTGAAACACCAACCCTGCAAGGAGCAATTGCCACTTCTCGAACAGAAGCTGCAGCTCCGCCGTCGTCTCCGCGCACACCCTCCTCCACAGCTGCCCAGACGCAGACACCGATCAGTAAACTTCACGAGCGATACCCAGCAACCATACGGGGATGAGATGAGAGCAGCGAATCGAGACCTTGGTAGACTCCCGCGCGACGTACATCGTCGTGGCCGCAGCTCCCACTCCCGGCCCTAGTCCTCCAGCAGTCTCCACTACTTCCCGGTTGGGTCACACCCATACTCCTTCCAATCCGCACATCACTGCGGGGATGTCGGGCATCCCGCGCCGAAATTCCCCGCTTCGTAACCGCCGCCGCCGCGGCCGGGTGGACGACGACCCTCCCGAGGCAGCTCAGCTCTCGGGCCTCGGCGAGGGAGAGGGGACGGGACGGGACGGGAAGGGCGCAAATGCGGTCTGCGGAGTCGAGACGACTGGGGGAACGGGTGGTCGCAGGCCGCCGCTGGCGCTGGGGGAGTCACGACTCTCTCGGCGACGGCGGCGACGGTTTGAATCGGGGAGGGTGGGTTCGGGGTTCGGGAGAAAAGGAGCCGGGGGTGTGGGCGTTTTCGTAAAAAGCCTGGGCTCGCTCCGCTCAGCCGGCCAGTTCGTTCGATCGGCGGTTGCGGTTGCTCTCAGCCGCGTTGATTCCGAGGGAAGGGGAGGAGCCGGTGGACTGGGCGATCTGCCGTGCTGTGGCCTCCATGTGCGCCCATCGCTGCCCTTTTATGCATCTGGCAGCCGCGTTGGCTGATCCATCATCCATGGGACCATGATCCCTCCCCTTTTTGTTCGGCAGATCGTAACCTTCATTCATTCATCCAGTCCATCATGACTGATGAGAGCAAAAAAAAATGGCAGTTGGTGTTTGTGCTTTGTTAATTAATTCGATCGGTTGGGCCAGAGATCCGGGTCGGGGCCAAAGCTAGCTGTACGGTGCCCAGCGTCGACAGCGTACAGGTTCGGGACCCGCAGCCTTCCAGAACACCAGATGTTGACATGTACAGCTCGAAAAAGGAAAAAGGATGTGGCCATGTAGACATGTTGCTTTCCCTGAGCTAAAAACGAATTTCAAATGTTCAGACCGAGCTTTGATCAACGCGTACCGTTGGTCCATTGCATTGGTCTAGTCTCTGATCATTCCACTCGTCTAGAGAAATAGCCGTTCGGCAAAATTCTGCCTTCCTTACCTGTTTCGATCGTTTACATTAGTATATATATAGGAGAGATTTTTATGATCCGTGGTGATTTTTTATTAGGCGCCACATTAGCATAGTTGCTAGTTTTTTTTTAGAGCTACTCCAAGAATTTTAATACCCTTTTCTAATTGATGGGAATACAGATTTTAGTGAAAAATATTTTCTAACAGCTTCTTTAACTAGATCTTCAAATGTTGACATCCTGATTTCTCGCTCTCTACTATGCACAAGATATAAAAAACTGTTAGAACAACTTCAAGATATTATTTATATCATTCCTCATTTATAGAAATAGATATTTAAAAGGTTCTCCAAATATAGATATCATCCATTTTGGATTTCTCACTAGTCGAAAATAGAGAGCGGGGATGACTATTTAGATAGCACACAAGATATAGAAAAGTTGTTCGAAGATATAAAGGTATAGAAAAACATTTTACTCAAATGAATTACCAAATAATGATTTAGAGAGTAAATTTTATAAAAAAAGACTCTTAGAGATATTCTTAGGGCTTGTTTTGAACGCGGAAAAATTTCTCGTTCTTGGGTTTTCCAATGAAATTCACATGTGATTCCTATAAAATTCATGCGCTCCAAACATACCCTTAGAGCATAGAAAATATAAAGAATAGATTTTATTCAAATAACTTTTCAAGACAGCCACACCCACCCTGCCACCGTGAGGGGGACAACCCGCAGTCGTGGATGACAAGGGGCGCCCACAAAGCCCCATTGCCATCCTCCCAGCTGCGGACACGACCACACCTCCCAAGAAACGCGGGAGCTCCGCCACCAAGAGATTAAAGCAGTTCGCGGCAAAGATCCTGCGTAAGATGCCGTCGCTGCTACTACCTTAGCCAGATGCGGAGGCACACCAAAATTCTTGTGGAGGCACACCAAAATTGCGCGACTCGCGTCCCCGGCATCAAGCGGGAGAGAGTCTTTGGTGATGAAGCGGATGGGCTATCACAGCCGATGAGGCCTTCCCGGCATCAAAGCGGGGACAACATCTTCGTCGATGAAGCTCAAGCGGATGGGCATACCTCGACAATTGGTCCCGATGAGGCCTATTTGGCTTGTTCGGCTTCTTTTTTCCAATGGAGTTGTTTTTCTCTTACAACAATTCATCTTCGTATTTTTCCGATTTCAACCTCTCGCATCAATTTAAGCGGGCCAAGCAACAGCTCTTTCTAGATCCACAAGGAGAGAGACCGAGGCGCCGCGCACGTCACCACGTCTAATCGCCGACGATGGCTGCGTGGTATGATTAGCGAGTAATAACCCATGATCTTCTTATGCTAGGGAGGGCAGAGCCGATTGTATAACACTAACACTCCCATTCTAGTGTTCTACGTTCGTGCGCGTCGTTGTAATTTTCACTATTTCTCGATCTTAAAACAAAGATGCGCAAACATTTTACGTATTCGAAAAAAAAAGTTTTCAAATGATAATTTAGAGAGTGGGCTTAAGAAAGACTTCTGTTTTTTTAACATTTAAATATACATGGACAGATGCGCTTTTACCCCTTCTTTATACCGCAACACTCGAATACTCTATATACTCTTTACTCGGTGGTTACTTCTACAATGAGCGAACATGATGGTCTTAGTCACTCAGACTCTCCATTCATCTTTACACTAATCAAAGTATATATATACGGCCACATGGTACCACCAAAAGCCCAGAGAAAAATAACAAAAAAAATTAAGGAGATTGTTCGACCCCAAACGTTGTCCGTTCCAACTTTTGAAGGCAAATGTGAATTCTTCTCTGCGTTTCTAGTTCGAGCTGAAAACAAGATACAGAGTAAACAATATAAGGGGTGGCAGTGTCACCATCCAGTGTTCTACAAAGAGAATAAGCTTTGCAAAGCCCATCAACGTCACCTAGAAACCTTGTCATCAAGTGCCAGTTAGCCGGCACAAAGCACACACGTTTTATCCGCGGAACGCAACCGTCACGCTGATGATGCAGAAGGCCATTTTTCCCTCGGAAGAAACATTGAACTCATCGACACGACTGTTGAAAGACGACAAAACCCGGAACAGCCAGAAGATGGTGTTGACCAGGCTGGGCCGCGATGCGATAACAGCATCTGGAAGAGGAGCCACGTGTTGGGCCCCGCGATGCCATACTCGTTCCTCTACAGGTGGCGCGATCCAGCTGATCCAATACACCGACACCGTGCAACCGTGGCTTTGAGGTCATATTCCTGGAAGGCCCCGGCGGCCTTGCAATGTGACGACGCGATGATGATGATGCTACGCTGCTCGCTGCAGCCCGGCCAGACCCAAAATTTCCTCGCGTAGGAGTATTCAATACGGGCGTGACGCAGCCGATCTGTGCCGACACTGATTTGGCGGTGCAGGGCTCGCAGCCCACACATGGCGACGGCATGAGCGACGGGAGCCAGGGCGACAGCGTCGTGCGCGCCCGTCGTGCGTGTGCGCGGCCGGCAGCGGTGGCCGGTGGAGACTAGCTAGGGAAGCCTGGCTTGCGGCCGCATACAACTGTACAAGCGACCGCGAACGGACAAGCAGGCGCAACAAGCCCACCGGCCGGACGCCGCGGCGTTGCCTAGATAGGTGCGCATACCCGGTCTTTCCGTTACTGGAACCCGGCCGGTGGTGCTTTCAGGTGGAAAGGCGAGAGAACATCAGCGTCGCCGACGTGCGGTTGTGCTGATGCTCTCTCCATCGCAAATCGCAATGGCACCGTCCGGTAGTACAACTTTCTGCTGGTTTCAGGACTTCAGGTCCACACGAGTACGCGAGGAACCCAGAGGTCATTGTCATTGAACTCACACTTCCCTCACTTGCTTAGCTTAGTTTCATTCCCAGGGGCCAGGGCCCAATCTAGTAGGAGGTAACAAATAGATGCGTAACGATGGGCTGCAAGACATAGTGCTAATGGGCCACGGCTCTAATGTCTTTTTAGCTCAGAAATATATACAAAATTCAGCCCTTTTTTGCCTGGACCTTAAAAATCATAGGTTTCAAAATTTGGGCGCTGATCACGCCTAGCTGAAGTCTTCGTAAGATGCAATAGGTCACCGTCATCCTGGACAAAATAAAAGGATCTGTTTACGTGGGATTCAGTTATTTTGGTCCTCCCATATATTTACACCGTCTTCTAACTATATTTACACTATCTTATTACTATATTTATAATGATATTTTAAGTGTAATTTATTAGACTGAGTGATGCAAGTTCGGAATAACACAAATATATACCAAAATTTTCAAAAAAAAAATTACAAATTATTTCTATGGCTTCCAGACACAGAGAAATATATGTCAAATTATTCACAAATTTCAAAAAAAAAATCTTCGAAATTCCGTGCCACGTTGTCGCCACTAACGCCGACACCGAGGAAGGCATAGCGTCCGGCCATGGCTGGTACTCCGAGACATGGTACTGCCACATCTGTGGCGGCTGCTGCTGCTGCGTCGACATGAGTTGCTGCAGTTGCTTCATCATCATCGCCGACGAGGTCACAACGGGGAGGCCGGCACGCGGGCCATACCCCGTGTTGCACACGTACCGTGGCATCTGCGAGTCCACCCAGAGATGAGAAACGCGATCGATCAGATCCAACGCTCGAAGGGCTAGGGCGGCGTGACGCTGACAGCATCCAGCAGATCGAGCGGCAACTCTCAGGCCGGATTCAAGATCCAACGCTGAAAAATTCAGTTGGCAATGGCATGTAATTCATGCGGTTGACGTATAGCGTTTCCGAATAAAAAGGTAATTTCTATTAAAAAATGTACTCGATGTCTCAGCGAGTCATCCATGACCGCAATGGCAACACGCTAACAAAGCTTTTACGTCGATTATTTGCCAAGGCCTCTCTCTCAACCTTTTGTTGTATATACGAGTTAGACATTTAAGAACTCTTCGGCTGATGGCTTTTACGGCTGATATAAAAAGAAAAATAATATATTATAGCTGATAAGTTCAAGCAAA